GAGCTCCTTGTCAATTTCTTTGAGAGGTCTAAACAAGATCCTTCTTACTGGGAAACCATCTCGATGGGTGGCCTGAAACGCATACAAGAGAAGTAAGCAACGCATTTTGATATCGTAATTCAAGAACCCATAAAACAAATATCTGATCATCACCAATTGAAAGTTCCAACAATACCATTTCTGTAGGTATACATGGCAAATTTACTCTGATAGGCTATTGACACTGGCTGGAGTTTACGGATTCTGGAAGTACGTGTCCAAGCTTGATCGCCTCGAGATCAGACGATATCTTGAAATGTTTTATGCCCTCAAATATCGCAAGCTGGTGAGTTCCTTTGTTTTCTTTTTCCTACTAAAAAAGGCTACAATTTCTAAGATACTCTGCTGATAAAGTACATTCCACATCTTGTGTGTAATTTTTTTCAGGCTGAAGATGTTCCCCTGGCAGTCGATGAGTAGACAAATCAAAAGAGGGCAAGCATGGGGGAGTTTCCAAATGAAGTTTTCTGTGATGTTTTAATAAAACGACGGTTGAGACTGTGAGAAGAAAATGCTGTTTTCAATTTCAGTTTTAAATGTGAGACTTTTTGTTATTCATTTCATGGTTGGGCAAATGATTTTTGTGTCTTTTAAGTTGAATCCTCGCTCGGATACCACTTTTGCATTGCAGAATTCGAGTTCTTGACAGACTCGAGTGAAAAAAATAAAAAATAAAAAAATGATATTCTATAATTTCATCGACTGAATTAATGGAAAAGATTGTCAAAAATCAAGAATAGATGAACTGCCAGTGTTGTTAAGCCCTTCGACATGGTTAAACTGGGTCGAAGGTACTTAGTCCTTTGAACGTTTTCGATTCAATTTCAGGACGGATTTAAAAACACTGGTTAGTTGATCGAGTGTATAACGCCCATTAACTGACATAAAAGTTAGTTTTGCTGCTGCTTCTTTGCTTCTTAAGCATTGCCCAGGCAGTTTTCTCTGGCATTGCAACAAAATTTTCTGCTCATTTTTGCTTAGAAAAATGGAGCCTAGAAATGCCATCAGAAATTCTCAATTCTTCAAGAAACTAGCAAAAACTCGAAGAAAAACCATAATTCTCATTGTATTTCTCCCGATCGTGGCACTTCTCATTGCTCTAAATTTCAAGCATCCGTCATCGTCATCATCAAGAATTGATCATCAACCGTTGATTCAATCTCCGCCATTAATCGGGCTGCATTTATTCATCAAGAAAGCCTGTGCCACCACACTATACCCTTCTTTATGCCTATCCAGCCTAGCCTCCATTCATGGCTCCAAGAACGCCACCAGTTTCCGTCGAATTCTCGAGGTGGCAATTAATCGAACACTTGAACATGTGAAGGCCACGCAACAAGATATCTTGGCTCATTTTAGACACCAAGATTTGAATTCACAGGAAAATAATGCACTAAAAGATTGCATGGAAATGTTGGATCAGACCCTTTATGAACTTGCACAAGCAGTTGAAGATCTACGAATTTCTTCCCCATCTTATGTTCGAATGTCGTATGGGGATCTCAAAACCCTACTGAGTGCAGCCATGACTAATGAAAACACCTGCATTGATGGGTTTTCAGACCTGGAAGAACTGAATATTGATAACCAAACGGGTCACAAAGAACATCTTCAGAATTTGTTAACTCCAATTTCTCGCATGATCAGCAATAGTCTAGCCATGATCAAATACGTGGAGAGCAAAGCCCCGAAACAAAATCTCAAGAAACCAAGAATTCTGAGTACTAAATTGCCAGAAAATGACGAGTTTAAAGACTGTGTTCATCGGAGGAGAACGATGCAGGTATTAAGTCCCTTGCGTGTATTATTTTCGTATTAAGCAATAAAGTTTTTCTTGAGAACTCCAATATTGGAATCTGACTATCCGTTTGAGCTTTCGACTAATCAGACTGCTCATTTCAGCCTTCTGGGCTCTCATACAAAATTGGGGTCAATCTAAATTTGTATTAATTTTCGTGTTTAAATGATCGGTTTTTTACTCCTAGGAAACGACAAACAGATTAAGGCCAGATGTGATTGTGAGTTCAAATGGCACTGGAAATTACACAACAATTGGTGAGGCAATTGCAGTGGCACCAAATATGAGTATGAACAGATTTGTGATTAGGATCAAGGCAGGAATTTATGAAGAAAATGTGTTGATTCCAAGAGAGAAGATTAATATCATGTTAGTTGGAGATGGTATGAACTCAACAATTATCAAGGGATGGAGAAATTTTGCAGATGGCTTTTCTACCTTTGCATCAGCTACCTTAAGTAAGTCTCGTTAAACTTCTCTGTCACTAATTTCTTCGTCTATAAACACAAAAACGCCAGAACTAACAGATTTTTGGCATTATAACAAGGTCAGGCACGTTGAGATCTACGACGCATCATACTGTATTTTCGACTTTGAATTCAAGAATTGGAGCTAGTAGAGTTTGTAGGTTCTTTATTGCATTATGGTGTGTGTATAGTAGGACTTACGATGAGCAACAAGAAATTTGAAGTATATACTTTATTCGATACAAACTCAAATTTGAAAAAGACCTTGTTCAATCCTCTTCTCTTGATTTCTCGAACCGAAAAATCCATGAATTGAGATATTGATGCCAGGCCTGGACGCCACTGTCCTTGGCAGCCTGCCTGTTTCCGCACCACTAAGATGGGTCGCGCACTCCTTTTAC